AAAAAAAAGTTCTATATAAAATTTGCTTTTTTATGTGCGCGATTTGCGCGCAACTGATAAGAGATAAGAGATAACTGTCTTCATCTTAGTTAGAGAAGACCTCAAGTACTACAACTTTGCCGAAGACACTATGTTGTTATCTTTTATCAGTTGCGCGAAAACCATGAAGACCGCGGAGGCTAGACGGTACTACAACATACTCTACTTTAACGCCAACAGAATCATCAGAAAACATACTCGCCTTTTCAAAAATATAAATCGAAGAAAAAACATACTCCACTCTCAATCTCACCCATAGATATGTAGCATTTAAATGCACTCACAACATCAAATCACACTCTCTCCAAGGGAAATTTGCCGAAACATGTTCATTCTAAAATAAATTTCATTTATAATCGAAAATTTAATTTTCATTTTTCCCCGAAATAGAATTCGATCCGGCATAATTTATCGTTACATAATCGATTCATGCGCGTGCAGAATGAAGGAACCGGCAAATCGAGTTGGTGGATGCTGAACCCTGACGCAAAACCAGGTAATTATGCAACTGGCAGTAATTAGCGAAAGAGAGAAAAAAACGTTTCTTTTTTACGAACACGGATGAAGCCGAGCTAAGCCAAAATGTGAATAAAATGAACGGCTCTTATTCCCTGAAAAATCCACCCAAATGAGGTTTATATCATATTAGCTTAATTCAAAGTGCCTATTTGACCTTGAGCCGTTTATTACCCAAATTATATTCAGGCCGATGAAAGATGGACTTTATCATTCACTCTGGTCGTCGCGCACTCGACACCACTGAAGAGTTTTGTTTTTCCAACAAAGCTTGCAACAATGTCTGAGTTTGGCTTGAAAAACTCAATCATATTACCTCACGATTAAACAAATTTGTGTGTGTGTTTGTTTCTTTTTTCCGTTGACTGTGTGAAACGAGGGGCAAATCACTCTCAAGTAATTTGTAATAGAGAAAGTACTCGAGAAAGTAATTTACGTGTAAAAATCTCGTAAATTCACGTAAATTACTTTCTCGATTACTTTCTCTATTACAAATTACTTGAGAGTGATTTGCCCCTCGGTGTAAAATCTACACGAGTTTGAGATTAATATAATTTGATTTGTATACAAGAAAGAAAAACACGAAATGATCCACAACTGCTCGTGAATTCTGTCGATTGCTGCGATCGCTGCGATTACTGCACTCGACCTTCAATTTCAAGCACATTGAAGATTTCGTGTTCCGAAAATATTTTCATTAGGTTTCAATACCCTGTATTAAGTGTGGGAAGAAATGACGATATTTTCTAAAGGCGAAGCACCTCATTTGCAATTTTTTTTTCCTCTTGTTTTTTTTTCCTTTCATCGGGCCCAATCAAATTTACTCCATGCCCAATTTTATCTCGAACAATTTCCGGAACTGATTCAACTGTTTCGAAGAATAAACTGAGGAACAAACGAGCAAAAAAAAAGTTCTGATTGCAGCCAACTCACCTCATCATCACATTTTCATTTATGGCATAGCCTAGCAACCGGCTTCGGTTGCCATCCGAAATGCTTTTCAGAAGAGGGTGTTCAATTTTCATAATGGACGCGCATAAGACGCAAACCAGTTTCTATGGCAATTAAATTGGAATAATCAAAATCACAATTCAACTCATAGTAACTCGCTCTTTCTCTTTGCTCCGCTCTGCTCTCATCTGTTTTGTATTCCGTCGTTGAAATAATTCGCTCAGTTACGTCTGTGCACTTGATTCCATTTTTAACTTTTGAATTTCGTTTGGAAAAAAAGGGAAATCAGTTCGCAGACGCGCCGCATCGATGGAAACATCGAAATATGAGAAACGCCGTGGCCGTGTGAAAAAGCAGGTGGAAAGTTTGAAAAATGGCGGACTTGCAAGTAAGTAAAGCCAATTCCGAAAGTACATGATGGCAATCTTAGTACCTTTTTTAAGCCATTCTTTTTCATCCGTAACTTATTTTTCTTCCTAATTTTCTTTTGTTTCTCTTTTCGATTCAGGTTTGTCTGGAATGAACGAAGCTTCTTCGCCCAGCAGGTAAATATATTGATAATAACGCTTTATAGCTAAGTACCATCCAAGCAGGCTTGAGTAACTGTTTTTTTTTCTCTAATCCTCTTCTCCTCCTCGTTGTCATTGTCGTCGTTGCCTTTTGTAGCAGTATCAGTGAAGGTCTAGATCTGTTTCCAAACAGTCCGCTCCTCAAGTAAGTTTCGACCGACAAGTTTCAATTAGATTGACCTTAATTTTTCTTGAAAAGGAAAAAAAAACTTTCTAATTGCATTGTTCAATGGTCTTGTTTTTAATTTACCCGTTTTGTCCGTTTATTTTCCGTCCACTCTCCTTCTCTCACTCGCACTCCAAACCAAACCAAATGAATTAATAAATTGTGCCAATAAATTAAGAGAAAATTGCTTCAATTTATATTTGGCCATCGGAATGGTATACGAACGTAGTTAATAATCATTTTCTTCATCTCTTTTCCTTTTTCAAATTGATTTACAGCACCGGGTTTCAATTGTCGCCCGATTTTCGGCAAAGAGCCTCATCGAATGCCAGTTCGGCTGGTCGGCTGAGTCCAATACCATCCGTTATCGATTTGGATCCCAGCTGGAATCAATACACAACAATATCTCAGGACTTTGACACGAATTCACTTGGGTGCAATAACCTGCAAGGAACCACTGATGGAGCCATTCAAATTAATCAGTGCCCGACGCTGGATCAATTAGCGGGCTCGTTGGCCGACGATCTGAATATTCAAAACGACTTTATGCAAGGGTGAGTTGATTTTGTTTTTCTGCTCATAGGCAGAGCATCTCATGTATGACGGATGGAATCTACGTAAAATGTAGAGTAAATTATTCATTTTCATTACTATGACTACATACTTTTATGGCAGAAAATTCACATGAAGAAAGAAAATGTTTCATCGTCAAAAAAATGTTCCCGATTCCATTATATTAAATTCATGGCATTTTTCGTTGTTCTCTCTGTTACAGATTCAATCCCGTTGTAACTGTGCAAAATCAACCGCCACCACCTCCTTATCAACAGCCATCTCGAACGTATTCCATGAATGCGGCAAATGCTTTACAAGCTTATGCGGTATCACAACAGCAAACTCAATGCCCCATCCACCAACGACAACCATGTTCTTGTACACAAAATTCCACAGAGGTATGTCAATACATAGCACATTATTCAAACAAATCAAGATGTTATTCCATTCACCACCACCGCGATCATCACTACTACCCTAAATACACTGAATACAAGCAGTGGAATTTTCATTCGGTTGACATTTCATTCATTCGGAAATGATTGAAATCGAACAAATGAAAAAACGACGAAAAAAACACATTAATATATTCGAAATATATCTTTTTCATTTCATATTCTCTTTCTCTTTCTGTATTTTATTTGACATGTGCAGCAGCATGTAACACCGCCATCATGTATATCACCATCGTATCCAAATAACGTGCTCAGCCAGAACTTCAAGGCAGCTATCAATTCGATTAAGGTGCCGCCTGTCAATTCAACGCCAAATCTCGTGAAATCAAACACCAATAAAGGTATGTCATATTTGCGGATTCAGAATGGCCCGTTCTGTTTGGTGCCGTTTTTCTGGTGTGCCAGTATGCCTATGTGTGTATTATATGTGCTTTTCAATAATAAGGTTAATATCAATCGAACGAACATGAAATAAAAAGAATAACTGCGTCGCATCAGTTTGTTGCCAATTTGGGTTTTTGGTCGATTTTCCATGTTCTCACATTTTGCCAATTCATATTTTCCCAACGAATTCACACTTGATTCGTTTCGAATACCAATTATTGCAAAGCCAATATAATCGCACGCATCCACTTACAAAAAGCATAAAAAAGTTATATTCGGCTACTGAGAAGCCGATAGAATGAGAAAACCAAAATTGATTCTTCGAAAAGAATCGTGCCAGCGCTTATTACATCGCCTTTTCTTCACCTTTTTTCACTTCCTTTCAATAACCTTTATTGAATACGCAAACAAATTTCAAAATAATACCAATTCCATTGGATTTATTCAAGTGAAGACGCCCGTGCGCGCGCTTCCGCAGGAGCGACCTCGTAACGCATGTTATTTTTGGACACTTTACGTCCTTTATGCGGAAATGCTAATTACATCTATTTAATTTTGATCATGTTGTCATAGAGACATTGAATACATATTACACAGTAGGGGTGATCAATTTTTAAGAAAAAATGGATTCAAAATTTAATAGTGCGGGATCGATAGATCATGAGGAGAGATGAAAATTTTGTTCTGGCACTTTTTTGATATAAAGTGCCTGGTGTCACCCCGGCCTTTTTTAGAAAATCACCTGAAAAATGACCATTTTTAGACATATTATCGCAATTTGCTCAAAATGTGATGCATAAACATACCGTTTTTTGGTTGTAATTTAGTAGCTCGTAGAAAATTACGTTGATTTGAATCGATTTACAGCGATTTTTTCAGGATATTTAGAAAAAATAGTGTCAATTTGCCGAAATTTGTCATTTTTCTGTATATTTGCCCACTTATGGTGATCCAGTTCACTATAAATCAATCTATTAAACACCTTTATTCGACTCAACTTGTTCCGAACTATCGATATGACATCATATTTTAACTCAAAATGTGCCACTGGACATTGATAGAGCAACAAATATATGAAAATCTCCTCAAATTTGGCCATTTTTTTTAATTATGTCGCCTAAAAAGCCAAATTATAGCCGACATACTTACCAAAATGTGTCTATATCCACCCAATGTTAGACGAGGGATCGATTTCTAGTTTTATTTGTTACAGGTTTGTGTGATTTTAGTGTCAAAAAGTACGATTTCCTGGAACCAAATTGTGCAAATCACGACCATGAGCTTCAGTTTCACGGCTAAACCACCCCATTGAGCAAACAATTTCTGCCTTTGCTACCTTTGAACATATAGTATGATCCCTCACGAACATTTTAAGTACGTACATGACCAAGTCGAGTGATGTTTTCATATATTTCTAGCCGCATATTCGGATGGTTCGATTTCAACTCTCAGAAAATCGATTTTTGGCCAAAAAATCCTTAAGTATAGGCCTCTTAGGGTGGGTGTCTTTGTGCAAAGTTATTTTTCCTCGAAAATATGGGAAATCTTGCCGTAATTTTCTACGAGCTACTAAATTACAACCAAAAAATGGTATGTTTATGCATCACATTTAGAGCAAATTGCGATAATATGTCTAAAAATGGTCATTTTTCAGGTGATTTTCTAAAAAAGGCCGGGGTGACACCAGGCACTTTATATCAAAAAAGTGCCAGAACAAAATTTTCATCTCTCCTCATGATCTATCGATCCCGCACTATTAAATTTTGAATCCATTTTTTCTTAAAAATTGATCACCCCTACTGTGTAATATGTATTCAATGTCTCTATGACAACATGATCAAAATTAAATAGATGTAATTAGCATTTCCGCATAAAGGACGTAAAGTGTCCAAAAATAACATGCGTTACGAGGTCGCTCCTGCGGAAGCGCGCGCACGGGCGTCTTCACTTGAATAAATCCAATGGAATTGGTATTATTTTGAAATTTGTTTGCGTATTCAATAAAGGTTATTGAAAGGAAGTGAAAAAAGGTGAAGAAAAGGCGATGTAATAAGCGCTGGCACGATTCTTTTCGAAGAATCAATTTTGGTTTTCTCATTCTATCGGCTTCTCAGTAGCCGAATATAACTTTTTTATGCTTTTTGTAAGTGGATGCGTGCGATTATATTGGCTTTGCAATAATTGGTATTCGAAACGAATCAAGTGTGAATTCGTTGGGAAAATATGAATTGGCAAAATGTGAGAACATGGAAAATCGACCAAAAACCCAAATTGGCAACAAACTGATGCGACGCAGTTATTCTTTTTATTTCATGTTCGTTCGATTGATATTAACCTTATTATTGAAAAGCACATATAATACACACATAGGCATACTGGCACACCAGAAAAACGGCACCAAACAGAACGGGCCATTCTGAATCCGCAAATATGACATACCTTTATTGGTGTTTGATTTCACGAGATTTGGCGTTGAATTGACAGGCGGCACCTTAATCGAATTGATAGCTGCCTTGAAGTTCTGGCTGAGCACGTTATTTGGATACGATGGTGATATACATGATGGCGGTGTTACATGCTGCTGCACATGTCAAATAAAATACAGAAAGAGAAAGAGAATATGAAATGAAAAAGATATATTTCGAATATATTAATGTGTTTTTTTCGTCGTTTTTTCATTTGTTCGATTTCAATCATTTCCGAATGAATGAAATGTCAACCGAATGAAAATTCCACTGCTTGTATTCAGTGTATTTAGGGTAGTAGTGATGATCGCGGTGGTGGTGAATGGAATAACATCTTGATTTGTTTGAATAATGTGCTATGTATTGACATACCTCTGTGGAATTTTGTGTACAAGAACATGGTTGTCGTTGGTGGATGGGGCATTGAGTTTGCTGTTGTGATACCGCATAAGCTTGTAAAGCATTTGCCGCATTCATGGAATACGTTCGAGATGGCTGTTGATAAGGAGGTGGTGGCGGTTGATTTTGCACAGTTACAACGGGATTGAATCTGTAACAGAGAGAACAACGAAAAATGCCATGAATTTAATATAATGGAATCGGGAACATTTTTTTGACGATGAAACATTTTCTTTCTTCATGTGAATTTTCTGCCATAAAAGTATGTAGTCATAGTAATGAAAATGAATAATTTACTCTACATTTTACGTAGATTCCATCCGTCATACATGAGATGCTCTGCCTATGAGCAGAAAAACAAAATCAACTCACCCTTGCATAAAGTCGTTTTGAATATTCAGATCGTCGGCCAACGAGCCCGCTAATTGATCCAGCGTCGGGCACTGATTAATTTGAATGGCTCCATCAGTGGTTCCTTGCAGGTTATTGCACCCAAGTGAATTCGTGTCAAAGTCCTGAGATATTGTTGTGTATTGATTCCAGCTGGGATCCAAATCGATAACGGATGGTATTGGACTCAGCCGACCAGCCGAACTGGCATTCGATGAGGCTCTTTGCCGAAAATCGGGCGACAATTGAAACCCGGTGCTGTAAATCAATTTGAAAAAGGAAAAGAGATGAAGAAAATGATTATTAACTACGTTCGTATACCATTCCGATGGCCAAATATAAATTGAAGCAATTTTCTCTTAATTTATTGGCACAATTTATTAATTCATTTGGTTTGGTTTGGAGTGCGAGTGAGAGAAGGAGAGTGGACGGAAAATAAACGGACAAAACGGGTAAATTAAAAACAAGACCATTGAACAATGCAATTAGAAAGTTTTTTTTTCCTTTTCAAGAAAAATTAAGGTCAATCTAATTGAAACTTGTCGGTCGAAACTTACTTGAGGAGCGGACTGTTTGGAAACAGATCTAGACCTTCACTGATACTGCTACAAAAGGCAACGACGACAATGACAACGAGGAGGAGAAGAGGATTAGAGAAAAAAAAACAGTTACTCAAGCCTGCTTGGATGGTACTTAGCTATAAAGCGTTATTATCAATATATTTACCTGCTGGGCGAAGAAGCTTCGTTCATTCCAGACAAACCTGAATCGAAAAGAGAAACAAAAGAAAATTAGGAAGAAAAATAAGTTACGGATGAAAAAGAATGGCTTAAAAAAGGTACTAAGATTGCCATCATGTACTTTCGGAATTGGCTTTACTTACTTGCAAGTCCGCCATTTTTCAAACTTTCCACCTGCTTTTTCACACGGCCACGGCGTTTCTCATATTTCGATGTTTCCATCGATGCGGCGCGTCTGCGAACTGATTTCCCTTTTTTTCCAAACGAAATTCAAAAGTTAAAAATGGAATCAAGTGCACAGACGTAACTGAGCGAATTATTTCAACGACGGAATACAAAACAGATGAGAGCAGAGCGGAGCAAAGAGAAAGAGCGAGTTACTATGAGTTGAATTGTGATTTTGATTATTCCAATTTAATTGCCATAGAAACTGGTTTGCGTCTTATGCGCGTCCATTATGAAAATTGAACACCCTCTTCTGAAAAGCATTTCGGATGGCAACCGAAGCCGGTTGCTAGGCTATGCCATAAATGAAAATGTGATGATGAGGTGAGTTGGCTGCAATCAGAACTTTTTTTTTGCTCGTTTGTTCCTCAGTTTATTCTTCGAAACAGTTGAATCAGTTCCGGAAATTGTTCGAGATAAAATTGGGCATGGAGTAAATTTGATTGGGCCCGATGAAAGGAAAAAAAAACAAGAGGAAAAAAAAATTGCAAATGAGGTGCTTCGCCTTTAGAAAATATCGTCATTTCTTCCCACACTTAATACAGGGTATTGAAACCTAATGAAAATATTTTCGGAACACGAAATCTTCAATGTGCTTGAAATTGAAGGTCGAGTGCAGTAATCGCAGCGATCGCAGCAATCGACAGAATTCACGAGCAGTTGTGGATCATTTCGTGTTTTTCTTTCTTGTATACAAATCAAATTATATTAATCTCAAACTCGTGTAGATTTTACACCGAGGGGCAAATCACTCTCAAGTAATTTGTAATAGAGAAAGTAATCGAGAAAGTAATTTACGTGAATTTACGAGATTTTTACACGTAAATTACTTTCTCGAGTACTTTCTCTATTACAAATTACTTGAGAGTGATTTGCCCCTCGTTTCACACAGTCAACGGAAAAAAGAAACAAACACACACACAAATTTGTTTAATCGTGAGGTAATATGATTGAGTTTTTCAAGCCAAACTCAGACATTGTTGCAAGCTTTGTTGGAAAAACAAAACTCTTCAGTGGTGTCGAGTGCGCGACGACCAGAGTGAATGATAAAGTCCATCTTTCATCGGCCTGAATATAATTTGGGTAATAAACGGCTCAAGGTCAAATAGGCACTTTGAATTAAGCTAATATGATATAAACCTCATTTGGGTGGATTTTTCAGGGAATAAGAGCCGTTCATTTTATTCACATTTTGGCTTAGCTCGGCTTCATCCGTGTTCGTAAAAAAGAAACGTTTTTTTCTCTCTTTCGCTAATTACTGCCAGTTGCATAATTACCTGGTTTTGCGTCAGGGTTCAGCATCCACCAACTCGATTTGCCGGTTCCTTCATTCTGCACGCGCATGAATCGATTATGTAACGATAAATTATGCCGGATCGAATTCTATTTCGGGGAAAAATGAAAATTAAATTTTCGATTATAAATGAAATTTATTTTAGAATGAACATGTTTCGGCAAATTTCCCTTGGAGAGAGTGTGATTTGATGTTGTGAGTGCATTTAAATGCTACATATCTATGGGTGAGATTGAGAGTGGAGTATGTTTTTTCTTCGATTTATATTTTTGAAAAGGCGAGTATGTTTTCTGATGATTCTGTTGGCGTTAAAGTAGAGTATGTTGTAGTA